TTGTCTTGGTGCTTGACCAACTTCTGCTACCCTGCTTGGATGATCAAACACTTTTCCAAAAAAGGGACATGGTATCGTAAGATCCCCTCAGAATCTTCATGGAACGAATGGCACTCCGGGAAGTCGACGATGACGACGCCACGATGGACGCCGTTCGGAACGTCCTTCGATTCAACAACGACGCCGATGTGTCTCATGAAAACGAGCGAACGTTCGTGAACAGAAACACTGAAGAACAGCTGGAAACATAATTACTCGCATTCAAAAGATTAAGGGACAACAAAGGAAAACGTGTTTTCAATAAGTGCAGCTTTTTAAAGGCACCACCCAAAGTGTGGTTTATAAACCCCCCTGACTCCCTGACGATGTATTTTACATCCAACAAGCATTTGACTCTTTGGTTGTAATCTCCACTCAACCATCCATCGCTGGGCCACCCTCTCGTGCTGTGGCGGCGTGCGTGCGTCAACTTGTCTCAGGAAGGAGTTGACGGATTTCCATGGGGCACAGCTGTCTTCAGCCCAGCCACAAGAGGTGCAATGGTCACTCAGTGAAAGAAAGAGACTGAGTGCAGTAACGAAGGACCCGGAGTGAGTGCATCCATCCGATTAACATCCAATTCAGGTTGGTACAAGATGATGAGTCATGATGCCTCATGGGTCATGTCCCATGTTCCAAAGTCATTTGAAGGTTTTTGTGTTCAATCCTTGTCCATCATGTCGTCGGCTTGGGGGATCTACTTTAAACTTGCTACAAGGAAGGGTGAAGAGTTTCCTCCAATGGCAAGGAAGATCGAGTTTGGTGGATAGAGCATGATTAATATAGACCCCCAAAATAGATGGAAGCTCCCCACTTAACATGTATATCTATTTGGGGACCACAAAAAAGAGAGTCGAATCGTTTAACTTCCAGTTGCCGGGCCCGGTGTGGCTGGATCCGCGATCGGGTAGAGCATGCTTGGTGTTTCTTTAAGCAGCATGCAGTCTTTTTTTACCGGTGAAGTCACAGGGTTCTCGACGAGAAAGATACAGTTCGGTTTTGAAGATCTTTGATTTGGCCTTTGAAGCAAGAATTTATCTGCAGGACGCCCAGGATTCATGGGGCCGAAAAGGACTCCAGAAGGCCGTTCAAAAGCAGAATCAGGCGTAAGAGCTTCATTTTGGTCAAGCTTTGTCTCATAAAAGTTACCGTCGCAATTACGGTGCAATCATGCAAAAATTCCTGGAAAAAGCAGAACTTACACACCCTGGAATCATCAGCAAAGTGGAAAACCACCTGCTTGTATAGAGGAACGTGGTCATCCAAGGGGCCATGCCATCCACTTCCATGATTATTCCAGAGGGTGTAATAGGTTGATCGTGTATTCTTTGGACTGATAGAGGGTCCCTGCCCTCAATGAGGCTCTTAGATGCACTATTTGACATGAAAGACCTGGAGCTCTATCCCCTCATCGCGCGTTTATCGCTGATGCTGGCTCGGCACGAGCAGTGCCTGGCAGAATTCGATTGGAAGGGAGAACTGCAAGAGCGAGCCTCCATGTTTCACTACGAGACTGCCCTGCAGCTACTGAAGACCGTCAGCCACTTCCAGGAGGCCCAGGAGACATCGGATGAAGACAACGGAAGAACAAGTGCCCGGATTAACATGTGAGGATTGGAGCAAGTCTATGGTTTCAGTCGCCCCCCCTGCTTCAGCAGTAGGTAACCGGCAAAATGGACCTCTGCCCTGGGCAGGCCCCTCTAGAATGCTGGTCCTCGACTCATTCATGTCTTTTGCTGAGCCAGAGGGGTCTCTTCCCCCGTCTTCCCCCAAAAATCCTCTCTCGTTTGCAGGAACTTCCCTGAAACCACATCTGTGCAGGTTCGCTTAAACAAGAACAACATGGTGCAAATCCGATGCAAAGTGACCTCCCTCAACTCCGTTCCCGATCACAGTCACCATGCAGATGTGAGGAGATCTTCAATGAAGCCACATCCTTGCGACGAGCGGGACAGCAAATGATCCACTGGAAGCACTTGTGGCAAACTCCTTCGGTCTATGTGCGACAGCTGCGCCCAACCGGAGGAACTGCATGGTGGGATCCGAAGGAGTTACCTTTGGCGCAGGTGAGATGGGGTGGGATGGAGTGGAGTGAGTTGTTTTTCTTTTCTGGGGTCTCTTAGATGTTCCTTCCCAATGGTTTGGTTTCATGTTGACAAATGTTTGCTAGTAGTGCGAGAGGTGCAGCCTGGTCTAATTCTCAAAAGACTTGGCAATGAATCATGTAGAGCACATGAGTCGGACAATGAATCCGAATGGAATTGTTGCATCGGTGGGTGGATTCTGTTTACCACTCTCGCGCTCCGACTCGAGTCGGAGCGCGATCGTCGAAGCGCGATCGCCTCATGATACTCAGGTCTTGGAGGAGAATGTCCTGGACATCAGGGCAGAGCTCCAGATGCTCTTGGAGAATGGAGGACAGGCTAACCGGTGGGTCCTTGCCTCCAGAATCATAAGTCCCAATCCCGATTTCGGGTCGAAACCAGCACCCGAATCGAAGAAAGCCGTTAAACATGATTCTTGGAGGACAGGGAGTGTCACTGGGTGGGTTTTCGCCTGTGGGGCAGATGGTTGGAACTTGCAGAACTTGAGATCCTGACAAGTGATCGACCCCCAACCTCAGTGGATTAATGACCAAGTGATTGCCTTGGCCCCCCCATCCCCACGCTACTTCTAAGAGGTTCCTACAACTACCGTAACTCATCCTAGAACCACATGGTTTGTTTTTTGGTTGTTTTTTACATATCCAGTTTATGTAGCATTGGGCTGTTTGACTTAGACAAAAATGAAGCATCACCCGCCCGAAGCATAACCCTCTTTACAAGGCTACGACTAGAGTCTTCGCACCGAATCGGCACCTCGGAAGCATCGCCCAGAGTCAAACGGCCTGGGACCCTGGGACCGTTGTTTTGATAGGAGACATGGGAAAAGACTACAAATGGAACCGGGGTTCAATCAGGTTGGTATGTGATATGACCAACTATAATCAACATCAATCCAAACCACCCATGATGTCCGTCACATGTTTGTCGCTCGATGTTCTTCAGACTCCACGGCCGAGCAAGCGCTGCGCAGCTTGCTGAGCGCAAGCTGCGCCAGGGCGCATGGTGGTGGATCCGGCCTACCCACGGCTCACCACGGAGGGCGATTGGGACGTGATTCGCTCCTGGGATCTGCCAGCAGGCGTTCAGGTCCTAATGTAGACTCTTGATTAGTAACCTTTGCAATCCTTTGCAAATGTTTCTTAATCATGATTCGACATTACAGGTCCAGCCTGACCAAACCTCCAAAGCTCCGGTCGATGGCCATGGTTGTGATTGCCTGGGTTCGTAGGCGTGTGAGGGCTGAGGGCCCTCTAACCCAGGGCCCAGGTCTCCTGGTCCTGAAGACCAAATGAGCTCCTGTTGGCAAAAATCCCATCCCCAGGGCTCCTGGCCCATACCCTCAGAATGTGGTTATACCCTCCTGACACCCACCCTAACCACCTTCGAAACGGAGGTCGGCCAGGAGCCCAAACGGGATCCTTTTGCAGGGCTCCACCGGATTCCTGGAAGGTGAATTGGTCATGGTTCCGGCGCCCGGTGCTGGAGAAAACCGGGTGCTGGATGAAAAAAAGCGTCAATGGGAAAAGCGGGTATGTTTGTCAACTTGTCCTTTACCATCCGTGTTTGTTCATGCCACAAGTTGAACAGTCCACTGGCGAGGTGTGAGGGTCTCCCTGCCAAGTGGTGAAGAAGTCAACCAACCGCAGGCGCGAAAAACCAGAGGTACCCGCATGGAAGCAGGTCTACCCATGAGTGCAATGGATTCAACATGATTCACATAATTTGATGCCCATTTTGATTGGCTTCTGTGTCATTCCGAGATAAGTGTTTTGTGGCGTTCACAACTTGACGAGTCGTTTCCCTGGAAGACAGGTAACCTTTTCAGGAAACTGAGGCGATCAGATTTGTTTCGTGTTTGAAGTCTTAATATTGGATAGTCATCCTGGATAGTATAGTTAGTTTGCTGGGACATATCCCATATTTCCTGGTCGTTTGGCAATCCTTCGCCTTGACCTCCCCCCAAAAAGACAACACTATGACGATCTAGGAATGTCTTCACCATGACGATCTAGGTCTCTACAACGACAAGAAGTGGGACCCTGCAGCCACCACCTTGGCGCCGAAGACCGTGGCGCTGCTGAAGGAGCGTTTGCCAGGCCAGGCCAATGGTCTGCCATACATCCACCACAACACCGAGGAGGAGCGGCCAATGGGCCCTGGGCTTCGAATGATTGGAGGTCGAACGAGGATCTGATTGGAGTTAATGGACTGGCACGTCCACTGAACCGTGAGCATTTGTCCAGTTAACAAACACACTAAGGTGGGGATCTCCTAAGGTGGGAAAATATTCCAGTGTTTTGGTTTCTTTGCGCAATATGGTTCCGTGTGTGTGTATATATAGAGAGAGAGAGAGAAGCGCAGCGACGTGTTCGTGCGAAGAGAAGTGTGAGACGTTGCAAAGTCTCATCATTGCACTGCGAGCATGTTGTTTGTGCCCACCAATTTGCAACAAATCGAGGACTATTCAACAAATCAGGTTCAGTGAGGGTGGTCGGAACGGATAAAAAGAGTAGATCTAAGAGTCTAAGTCCAAACGAACTGATGGAGATGTTCAGTTGGTTAAGACTCAAGACTTGGAGTCAGTTGGCAAACAGTCTAATCAGTCTAATCTCAAAAGTCATAATTGAGAGTCTAAGAGTCTAAGTCCAAACCAACCGACTCCAGTCCAACGCAGGTCTGGACTCCAAACTCTGTTTGTCAGATGCCACAATCGGGCCAAGTGCGAGTGTGTCTTGTGATATGGAAGCAACCTTGAACTGAAGGTGTCTTTGTGAGCTCCCCAAAGGCGTCTTGGCATGTTACCATTGAACAAAAGCGTGTTTGGCAGAGGTTTGCTATTCAGAGTGGTAGTGTTATAGGTTCTATGTTCAATTTCAACTCAGAGGAGGCCAAATCGGAGGAATTGGCAACTATGCATCCTGCACCACCCGTTTGAGCAGTCTCTCAAGGCATGATTCCAGACGTTGACGGGTCACTGCGCTTGCCGATAGGTTTGCTTCTTCCGGATGAGCCCTGGGACGCGGATCTTACTGCACACAGGTGGTTGCAATGCCCGGCTCAACTTGAGTTTGGGCTTGATGGGCAGCTGGGTCAGATCGGAAGTTCGGGTTTGGAGAGGAGTCCTTAGGGCTGAGGGCATGGATGGAGTTAAACAATGAATCGGACACAAGGGTCTCGGCGCTTTCAGTTTGGTGGATGGGAATGGATGGGGTGGGATCGATTTGTTCATTTTCTGGGGTGCTAGCTGGGAGAGTGACGTGACTGGGTTTAGATACTTTCTTTTGTAGTGGTCCCCTGCAGTCAACAGTAGTGTTTAATACATGTTTCATGGCAGACTGTTCTGTCTATGGTACTATATCACAAAATGTGTTCAAGGAGTTATTGATTCTACATGACTGTTCCAAGTCCTGACCGATGTAGTGGCTGTTTGACTTGTTTCTGAGAGTTATATAGTCATAGTCCTGCAGCTTTAATGTGTCAAGGGGCAATGTGTCTGAAACTCCGGATTTTTCTTCAACATAGAGCATTCAATGAGAATCATTTAAGAGCGGCATGCTGAATTTGAGATTACGTAGCCTTGGATTATCCTCGGGTCATCCTGGGGTCATGGCGCAAGACAGCCGACGAAGCATCCGTCAAATCAAAGCGGTTGGCCATGGCCTGCTCTAGCAAGAGATGAAAGAGAAAGAGAGAAAGAGGGAGAACCCCGCCACCAGTTCGTACCAGTTCGGACTTGGAAGAGGCATATGAGACGATCGCTCAGAGGTTTCATCCAATGAATTGTTTAGTCTCAGAGGTTTCAGTTTGTTGATTTTCGTTGGAAAACGATAGGGGACGGCCAAAGAACGATAGGGTTAAAACACTTGGCTTGGATGTGTGGAGCTGATTTGCTTCTAATTGAAGCCACTTGGCTTCAAAACAAGCAGCAATGCAGGCAAGCTCGGTAGCACGTTTTTCGGTGTCATGTTTTCCTCCAAGGTCATGTCCAATGTGTATCTGAACGATTCCTCAAAGGACGATAGGGATAGGTTTTCGGTGTCTATCCGATCGCCTCGACTTTCATTCAAGTCCCACGGGTTGCCCAACGAGCGAAGTGTGCAGTGGCTTTCGGTTTGGTTGCAGACCACATAAAAGCGTTCCCAAGCTCGGATTCTTCGGAGTTCGCGAGTAAACTAGCACTTGCTGCTTGCTGCTTGCAGTATATGTTCATGCGGCATGCGTAGAAAAACCAACTTTTGGATCATGGAATCTTGTAGGAAGAGTGCTAGTTCTTGGAAACGACAACAGCCTATACATAAGATTTTTTTGCATAAGGCGCATATCATTATGCAAGAAAAAAACACATACACTATATTGAATAGGCACTATATCCCACAACACCCGCCTGTCAAGACGTGCAGTCTCTTTCATGGCTGAGGTTGTAGCGACTCTTTCATCACAGTGGCCCAGGAGGTGCAGCTGCCTTTCGACACAGCTCATGCCATCGAGATGTGAGAGGGACGTGGTTTTGAGGATCGTTTTGAGGTTGTTACGTTCGTAGCTTCTTGTTTCTAGTAGCGATGGCCTCCAACCTAGCATCACTTTTCCAGTTATACTCTATGGTTTTGAGCATCCTTGGTACCTCACGGGCCATCCGACCACCAATGAACAGTAGTGCCATTGCCTTTGGTCGTGTACCACGACAGCCTCACGCGTAGAGTAGAAGTGTTTTCTCATTTTGTTTTGCTCACTCACAATGGTCATATATAGCCGCAGAACCATTTGGTCAAAGCCATCCCCTTGTGCCATGTGCCCCCAGCAACATGCCAGACTGTTTTGTTTGATAGAAGGATTGCCATAGCGTTTTCAACCTGGTTTCAACCAAACATATCCAACAGATCACAGTTTTGCTTTGATTTTCAAATTTGTGGTTTTGGGTAAGATGTTCTAACTCTTTGTTTCCAGTGCAAACGCCCGGACGGTCGTTTGCCCGGACGCTCGCCTGGCGATCCTCGTCCTGAGTCCACGCGTCCTTCCCCGCGAGGAGCGCCGCTGGCGTGACGGGCAGTTGTTTGCCTTTGACGACAGCTGCGACCACGCAGCGCGCCATGATGGGCCTGAGGTGGCGCATGGGCCATGGGCCATGAGTGGTGCATGGGCCATGATGGGCAATGATGGGCCATGGTACACGAAAGTACAGACTGAAGGTGGCGCCCATATCCGCAGGTATGCCAGGTGCACGACCCATGAAACTGGAAACTTGACGTGTACGATCCCTTGAGTGGCCCACCCCAGATCACACATATTGCATACATCATGGCAGTGTTTGGTTCTAAACATCAGTTTGTTTGTTGAACCAAGACTCTTGGAATCCAAACTCTTGGAGTCCTACCTTGCTGACCAGACCGGTGAGATGGCAGAATTGTGGCCCATACCCACCACCATCAGGGATTGTGAACGAGTTATCACAGGTGGTCTGGTGCTACAGAGCATCGCATGGAAACCAACGAACACAGTATACCCAGACCATCCATGTACAACGGCCTCACCGACAGCAGGAGAGCCCAAAGTCACACAGAAACTGATAGACCACCCCCTCTTGAAAGGTAAATCAAATCCTTTTCCAACCAGCTAACATGCAGGTCATGCATCTTAGTATACCAGCGGGTTCTTTGCTCACTGTGTTGCGAACAAAACGTATTGTTCATCCTCCGCCGTCGTGCTTCCTTCCGACCGCCATTCGTAACCGGTCGCGACGGGGCGCCGACCTGTTTTCGCACCGTCGCACACCCTCCACGCACGCAGGATCGGTGGGTGCTCACCGTGGGGATTATGCATCCAGACCTGGTGGCGTCTGCTGAGCTGAACGGAGACGGTCCGGGTTGACGGTTCGGGTGGAGTCGAGGACTGCCGTGGGTAGGATCGAAGGTGAGGCTGTAGTTAACAGCATGGGTGGGCGTGGTATGAGATGAGGGGCACTGGTGGTGGAAAGATAGACTCAAAACATGGTCAGCGCCTCAGGGAAACTTCTTTCTTTAGATGGAGCTGAAAGTTGTATTTCATCCATAATGCAGCTGGGAAGAATGCAGAGGCATCCTTTGTCTTTAGCTTTAAGGACCACTCAAACGATGGCAGTACTTGAAGCTGCAGAACAGTCGTAGCCATGTGAGAATTCTGTGTCTTTTTATACCTCGGGAAATTCAGCATTTGGCCCATCTGAGTCGAATGAGAATGAGATTTGCAAGCATATATTAAGACTCGTTTTTTTAAACACACATTTAGTCCACCGTTGGAAACCAGCGGGCTGTGTGCCCCCAGAAGACGTGAAAGTCAAAATCCAGGACCCCACAGCACCGTTGAGGCTTTTGGCGGGTGTAAGAGATTCTACACCCAAAGGCTCCATATGCGATAGCTGGATATAGCTGGAACATGCTACGAGCTTGATGCAGGGTGACCCTTGAATTTTGCCTGATCATGGCTAAGTCATGCTAAACCTATATCATCCTATAATCTATGTCTCATGTAAATCTCATGAATTTAATCTTCTTGTTCTGACTTGACTTGCATTTCTCGTTTGTTGCGGGGTTTCCAAGTCATGGCCACTGACCACCTCCCAATTCCCAGACACCGCCAGCCCCACCCCCCCCCCCCAATTTAACCGCCCGTGGTTTATGTCGGCCGGTTCGAGGCAACCAGAGATCTTCCGGGACTCCGGTGGTGCCCAGCGGGCCTGGCGGACCGAATACGAGTCCTTTGGACCTGAAGTCTGGGTGAAAAACGCCGGAGCAAGCGCGAGGGTTCGGCGGCGGTTTTGGCGCGAAGGTGGGCGTGAGGGTTCGGCGTGAGGGTTCGGCGCGAAGTCGGAGGTTGGAGCGGATTGGGGGTCTTTGGTTGGGGTTCGCTATTTGATGCTATACTTGATGCTATATGTTTGCAGATTCACCAGCTTTTTTGAGATCAGCAATAAGCGCGGCATCTTCCGGCCGGTGGCGAAAGAAATGAAAATCAGGAGTGAAAAAGGTCAAAGGCATTCCGCTTTTGGGGGGGAGGAGACACTTTAAATCAATCGCAGCAATGCACAGACGTTGAACTTGCAGTTTTTGTTGCGCTGACAGCTGGTCCCTGTTGAGCCTATTAGGTGTCCACCATCTGAGATGACCCTTCCATTCTCGCGGTTCCTCGCGGAGTATCGGCTCAATGACATGCCAAGTCATGGGGACCTTGTCCCTAGGGATTTATGGAGAGAATAGATGAGATATGATGAGATCAACCTGAGGGAACTGGGTGTCTCTACAAACTGCAGTCTCCAGACATCTCCAGACCTAGGATCTCCTACGAATTCCCACGGTCGCCAGGCATTAACCTGTAGGATTTGAGACAACAAATTACACCCATCCGCACGACCCCTAAATGGCTTGATTTCTTTAAATCGAGCATGAGCGCTGCGATGTCATGCCAGACTCAGTCAAAGGCTCAGCCTGGAGGTTTGGAACTGCACCGGAAGCGCTGTCAGAGCTAGCTACAGCTACATGGAGTGGTACCCCTCTCAAAAGTCATTGCCTTCCCAAGAACTTCTCTTCGGCAAAGCCAGATAGACAAACCGTGGATCCACCTGGTTTGAGTTCGAGCAAGTGGTGTGAACGACACATGGAGAAAGTGAGAGCTTACCTCAGCATACCTCAGCGAGCCATGACTTTGGGGGTGTAAGTTATGTCCTACAGTGCAATAAACACGTGTTGTTTCACTCTTGTGTCTCCAAACACGGCATCTTGTTTCGCTCACGTAAGTTGATCAGCTTCGGAGTGTTTATGTATGTTCCGCAATGACCAACATCAGTGAAAACTGCACCCGACCTGAGGAAAGAGTCCTTTCTAACTTTTGAGTCTTGAGTTGATCTTGTTGGACATGTTGACTGCCAGCTGATCCACACTGACAGTTGACGCGAAGCACTTTGCTTAGGTCTTTGCTTAAGGATGTTCTTGAGGAGTGTTAATTTCCAAATCTTTGAGAAGCGATTCGGAGTTCAGAAGGTTTGGGTCTTTGTTTGCTGGGATTGTTTCCACACTCCACGGTCCATTGGGCGGGGGCGTTGGGCCTAGGAGCCTTTCTGCATTTATTGCTTCATCTTCTTCCTGGCATGTCCACCGACGCTCATTTTTCTCTTCATTGTGGTCAGGACCCAAGCTGCTGAAAACTCGATACACATGAAACATGGATTCAGGCTTCTATCTCCAGGCTCGTCCAGGCTTCAGAGCACTGAACATGCAAGCCTTGGAAAACTCCTTGCATGTCTTGCTATGTTGACTGGAAACATGTTCAGCTTCCATTGGAGCCAGCTTTCACCCCAGCTGTTGTTGAGCACTTGGTGCTGCTGTGCGACCATGGTGCGGCCTTGCTGTTTGCCACAAATCTGTAGAATGGATCACCAATCTTCTTGAAACCCGAAAGACACAGTATTTGAAACACCCTCGAGTGTCAGTACCAAGCAACCCCACCCGAACACCACGCCACCGAACGACCACGCCAGCGTCGCACCACGGCGTCGCGCGTCCCTAGCCCTTCGTGACCTCAGCGATGCCGGCGATGAGCCTGGGAAGCTCAGTGGGGTTGGGAGGCGTGGGGTTGGCCCAACAGCAATCCCTACGGGGTCGACTTGAGGACCGGTCCGGTCCGGTACAGTTCGTTTGAGTGTCGGGGACAGTCGTTCGCGTTTTTGGGGGATGCGAAAAAACTCCAGTAGAATCTGGTCAAAGCTGACCTGTGGTAGGGAATGTGTTTTGTTCCAACCAAAAGGGGGGATCAATGAGGAGAAGCGCCAGGCAATGCCATGTTGCTTGAGCAATATTCCATACTATCCACCCCAACATGTTTTTGGGGGTTCAAGTGATGTTGATGGTAGTTTCAAGGGCCTTGATAGAGAAGGGTGGGGTACCATTGGACTTCTGTTGCATTTGCCCTTCGATCAGATAATGCCTGAGTATGCCCTGAATTAAGTTCAGTACGACCTCGGAGCGGGCGCCTGGTGAGCAGACGGGCCGCCCTGCATTCATCGAATCGTAGTGATTGTCGAAGACGATTGACGATTGGGATAAATCGAACCCATCAACATCACCTGAGCACCATTGAGTAGCCGATCATCAAATAAGAGTTCGCCTCAAATGTTTGGCGCAGTCTTACACGCTGCCACGCCAAACATTTGATCACATATGTGCCATAGGTGAGCATAGGTGATCTCTCTTTTTTTATGCTCACACGCTTACAGTAGATCTCCTTTCCGGTGGATTCGGTCAACCTGTGCTGAAACGATCCACGCCAGCCTTGCTGCTCCCTGCACTGGGCTTCATCGCCAGCACGGTGCTCTATTTCTTGCCGGCAGGAGATGGGTTGTTATGAAGCGGGTGTCTTGGGAAGACGATCTTTTAGGTAGAGTTGAAGCAAAGCCATATAGTCCATGGGACTGGAAGTGCGACTGGAATAGATGCTCACCCTTTCACCACCCCAACTGATCAGCAAATATGGCAGTCCCACGGAGCGTTTGGGAATGGTTTCTTATGGTTTCTTCCTTTGGGTGGGTCATTCTGGGTCATTCCATACGGCTCAAGCTTCCGTAGCCTTTCCACCGATCACCTCTGACGCAGAGTCGAAGCAAAACGTGCCGCAGACCGGGGCCGCAACGAAGACGCATACACACACACACATGGAACAGGGAACATCGATGAAACCCGGTCCCAACCAGAAACAAATTGATGTTTCCCCAGTCCCACTCTGCGGAAGGCTCCAGCTACCTCCTGAGGTTCAGTGCATACAAGGGCACTTCAGTAGGCTGCAGGGCTACCAGTGAATCCGTCCTTGCATCATATTGGATCTAGTGTGGGGTCACATCCCTGCAATCGATAGTATTCTCTGTGTCCCAACGGACCAACAAACAAATAAACTGAACTCCTTGTTCTAGCCGTAAAAAGCTATATGCTTTGAGTGTGGACCAAGCAACCGATGTGTGACAGGATGGAATAGGAATGATTGCACCATCTGCCTCCCATACCACGGGGGTTTCACCCTCCCGTACCTCATGTTGACTGATCATTAACTCGGGACTTCTTTTCAGTGACATGGCTGTGAAGTTCAGAATTCGAGGTGAGTCTCTTCGATGACGACGCACTTGCTGGACACGTTAACTTTATTCTTCTATTCCCCTTCTGCATGTTTTGCTTTTTAGGTGAGGTGTTGAGAATTGTGTTGTGTTGTATTCAGTTCGTAGCACAGTGGAGTCCAGACAATCGCACGGAGATCGCACTTCGGGCAGTAGATCTAGCTAGGTATAGCTGGCATAGCCCAGGTCTACTGCCTGGTTTCTCTGTCCGGTGGCACCTTCTCGGGCTCCGTAGACGTCGACACGTCAGGAGCGAAAAGAGACCGGGTGCAACTTGTGGACCAAGCATCTGCTGGGAGCCAAATGGCCGGACCACAGACTCACAGACTTGATATCTTGGATGGGCCGCGTTCCTACTCTAGTAGACCAACAAGAGAGGACAGTCTCAGGTAAACATGCTAACCTACTAGTAACATCTCTCTATATATATATATAACTTAGACCAGTTTCTGGCCTCTATATTCCATCAGTTCTGTGGAAAAAGCAGTATAGACTTTTGGCTGCGTAATGAATTAGCCTGGTTTCAACATGTTGGGTCAACGGGGGGGGTTAGCCCCGCCCGCAACATATGGTCTGATTTTTTCGGGTTTGGGGGGGGGGGGGGGGGGGGGGGGGGGGGGGGGTGGGGTCAGTTTCATTCTGGTTTCGACTCGCGTACATCGTCTACGTACTTCATTGGTGCACCCAGTTCCTTGTAGCTTCGCTCGGTCACTATTCGTTTCGCTGGACGACCCGCTGGTCTCGGCTTACAGGACATGACGGGTACTACTTTGGAGGTTTGTTTGTGTTTGTCGTTGGTTCTGTTGTTGCGTTTGGTCGGTTTGAGGTGCCCTTCCCCCAATGAGGATTTGAAAGTTTTTTTTACGACCGACCCCTTTCTTTTGGACGCTCACATAGACGTTTGTACCCGTGCCTCAGATCCGACTATCTCTTTTGTTCAGGAGGTTGCATTGTTAAACTGTCGTTCTCCGTTACGGTTTGACCGTCTCGTCGCTTTTCGCTTGGTTTTGTTTGATGTTTGGACTTCTCACTTTCATCGACACCATATGTCTTTTACACCTGTCATGTGGAGTGCATTATGGGTTCTTTCCAGGCGTTTGTTGCAAATTAGAGATGTTCAACTAAACAGACATGTCAGTGTCCAGCATTCTACTACTAGACAGCCTCCCATGGACACGCCATGTGTGACTCCGGATCCTCACGAGCGTACGCCGCGGCGGATGACACAGACGACCACGCCCGTGCTGGACTCTCCCGAACTCGCGTCTAAGCGACGTGAGTTGCAACCTTTGATAGATTTGACGGAGTCTCCGCCACGATCTATGTCGGCTGCGCACACGCCGATGAAAGAGGAAGCTTTCCCCGAATTATTTGTTACGTTTTGGCAGACATGTGAACCTATAAGATTTTTTGGCCTTTTTCGGAATTCTCGTTCTTGTAAAAACCACATGAGGAAGATGATTCGGAGTCTTTGTCGCCTCCGAATGAATGGGACAGTCCGCCGCACAGACAGGCCAAGATTCAGTATTGGACCAAGCATAGCACACCACCCCTGGCAGAGCAACCGCAGAGAGTCAATAGCGGGGCCGCTGGCTCTTCTCTCGAGTCTTCTTGGTATTATGCTTTTGTTGTTTGTCTCCGGGGCAATTTTTGCTTTTGTCGCTTATCGTGACCTTTTCGAGATTCGAACATCTCCGGACCGAGTGACCATGGCCTTTTTGAATCTCAGGACACCAATGCCGCTTGCACTGGGGATGCACAAGGGTCTGCTGAAGACAGACCATGGCCGCGTACCAAGTGGGGACGCTGTCCACTTTGTGAGTACTCCTTGAGACCTCATTTGTACCAGAGTGGACCATACCGTGGATCCATTCGACTTTTGTGTTCCCGGTTTTGGATACTTGAGGATGGCCGCAGACAGTGTTGGAACTCCATACCGGTTCCTGCACACATGTGGTCTAAATTACCTCGTTTTCTTCGACAGAAGTACCATGAGCTACCAGCCTCACTGCTGCGCAATGCGCAAGCATGAACAGACGTCGCTGCAAAAAAGTTGAACGGGCGCTCAATCCGGAATGCGATTTCACTTGTTGTTGAACAAGCCTGCGGAAAGCATATGCATATCTATATATATATATATAGAGAAATACATGCTCTCTGTCTAAATATATATATATATAGAGTGGTTTCCTATATGAATATATATATATTTCTCTATCTCCTCTCTCTGAGTATCTATATATTTCCTCTCTCCTGACAGCAGACCTCCAGAACTCACTTTTTTTGGTGGGACATTGAAAGGCTGTTTGATCGCCACACTGTGCCCCAGAGACGAATTTATGTTCGGGCCTTGGTTCGAGCTCCGTTTAATGTAGCTTCCTTGGCTCTGCATTTCTGAGCCATGAAAGGCAACTTGTCTGACGACAGAGAAAGATATGAATCTGGGAGGCCCAAGCCTACTTCCAGAACTGTGGCCACGGCCAAAGGCACAAACCGAAAGCACTGGAAGTTAGGCATCAAATATGCCACTCCGAAATTCCAATCCAGAGGGAAGCTGCGCACTTTGAGACAAGTCGATTTTCCGACTGTGCTGTCTTGGCCGGAGAAGAAATGCTTTTCCATTCTCAAGAAGGCTGGTGTGTTCGGAGATCGGCGCAACAGACGTTGTTGGGTGTGCAAAGCTGCAATGGTTCCAGAGTCGCAGACACAAGCTTACAGATGTGTCAACCGACAATGTTCGGGCCAGAGACCACGTCTTTACTCCTGGCAATTCTCCTTCACTCCTTTTGGAGGACGTCTCAGAGGAGGTCATCCCAAGGACTGCAAAGCCTTTGTCTGTGCTGCGTACTTGTGTTCCTTGAAGTGCCCTCAGGATTCATCATGGCATGTGCTGGGTCGCTCACAAGACTACACTGATTTGACTTTTCGACAGCTACGTGTGTGCGCTGCCTTTGCACAACTGCAGGAGAGTAAAGCCATGTGCTTGGACCCTGGGATGGTGGACATCGACGGTACGAGAACTTTTGGCAAGTCGAAGACGTTTGACAAGAGGACTTTGACCGCCAAAGCAAAGTCCCAATTGCGCAAGAAGCCAACAACGCGATCTGGAAAGCCTGTTTCGAAGAAACCAGCCTCCATGATCCACGCAGGCCGTTTCTTGTTGCTGAAGCATAGAACAAGTGGTCAGCAAGCAGTTCTGCCGTTGCCAGACCGGAAGACCCAGAAACACGCTCCGGGTCCGCCTGAGAGCAAGGATGAAGTGTTGCCACTCTTGAAGACGAAGCTCTGCAGCACCAAACACATCGTGGGCAGCGACGCTTCGAAGGGCCTGCAAGGTGCTATGAAGGAGATGAAGTTGACAGCTGCAACGGCGCGTCACTCGCAGAGCGAGTACACGCCAACTGTGACTCTGAGCAAACGACACCTTCCCAAGAAAGCCCTGCAAGCGTTGAAGCAAGGTAGCTCCAGGAGTTCCTCTTCTTCTGCCAGACCCATGCTGCTCGAGAAACAGAGCAAAGTGACGGTCGTTGGTGGAGACCAAGGTACAGAAAGCTTGGCAGCAGTGATGAAAAAATCATTGCGTAGAATGGGTTTGCTTGGCCGTTGCGACGCGAAGCTGCAACGCCAGCACGTTGAAGGCCTCGCAGCGTTGTGGTTCAGCCAACATCCTGGGTTGGACGCAATGCTCGAGGCTGTCAGGATGCATAGGGAAGCTGTGCAAGACACTTGTCCGCCAGCTGCCATGTATACTGAGCTGAAATGGCTCCACTGGGACCAAGACTAATGCCTAGCAGGTGGAAAATCACTTTCGCGCCAGGGACACGGAGCAGGCGGGTCGGGGAATGCATGCGTCAAAATGCACTCAACTTATCGTCTTGCAACTCATGAGTTGCAAGACGATAAGTTGAGTGTCCGGAAAGCCACTTTACCCT